TAAACGAATTCAGTAAAGTAGCAGGATACAAAAATAATATTCAGAAATTGGTTGCATTTGTATACACCAATAACAAACTATCAGAAAGAGAAATTAAGAAAACAATCCCATTTACAATTACATCAAAATGAGTAAAATACCTAGGAATAAGTTTAACTAGACCTGTGGTTGGAAAACTATAAGACACTGAAGAAAGGAACTGAAGAAGATACAAAAAAATGGAAGGATATACTGGGCTCTTGGATATAAAGAATTAACATTGTTAAAATGTCCATACTACCCAAAGCAATCTACAGATTCAGTGAAAGGTCTATCAAAATACCAATGGCATTTTTCACAGAACTAGAACAAATAATACTAAAATTTATATGAAACCACAAAAGAACTGGAATAGCCAAAGCAATCTTGAGAAAGAAGAATAAAGTTGGAGGTGTCACGCCACCTGATATCAAACTATATTACAAGGCTACAGTAATCAAAACAGCATTGGTACTGGCATAAAAACAGACACATAGATCAATGGAACAGGACACACAGCCCAGAAATAAACCTACAGCTTTATGGTCAATTAATCTATTCAAAGGAGGCAAGAATACACAATGGGGTAAAGATTGTCTCTTCAATAATGGTGTTGGGAAAACTGGACAGATACATGCAAAAAAAAGAAACTAGACCACTTTCTTACATCATGTGCAAGAATAAACACAAAATGGATTAAATACTTAAATATAAGACCTGCCCCACCCCCAAAAACTATAAAACTCCCAGAAGAAAACACAGGCAGTAAACTGCGTGATAACACTCTTAGCAGGATTTTTTTGGATTATGTCTCCTTGGGCAAGGGAAACAAAAGAAAAAATAAACAAATAGGACTACATCAAATTAAAAAACTTCCGTACAGTAAAGGAAACCATCAACAAAATGGAAAGAAAGACAACCTACTGAATAGGAGAAGATAATCACAAATGATAGATCCAATAAGGGGTTAATACTCATACAACTTAACCCCCCCTCCCCCCAAAAAAATCCTATAAAAAAATGGGCAGAGAACCTGAATAGACATTTCTCCAAAGAGGACCTACAGATGGCCAACAGACATATGAACAGATGCTCAATGTCATTAATCACAGGGAAATACAAATTCAAACAACAATGAGACATCACCTCATGCCTGTCAGCACAGCTATCATGAATAAATCAACAAACAACAAGTGTTGACAAGGATGTGCAGAAAAGAGAGCCCTTGTGCATTGTTAGTGAGATTGCAAATTGGTGCAGCCACCATGCAAAACAGTATGTAGTGCCTCAAACTATTAAAATATAAGACTACAGTATGACCCAGCAATTCCACTTTTGAGTATTTATCCAAAGAAATCCAAAACACTAATTCAAAAAGATAAATGCTCTGCTATGTTCACTGCAGCATTATTTATAATAGCCAAGATATGGACTCAATCTAAGTGCCCATAATACAATAATGGATAAAGGAGATGTGGTACATATATACAATAGAATATTATTCAGACATAAAAAGAATGAAATCTTGTAATTTGCAATAACATGGTTGGACCTAGACGGTATAATGCTAAGTGAAATCAGTCAGATTAAGACAAATACTATATGATCTCACTTATATATGGAGTCTAAAAAACAAAATAAATGAACAAATCAGAAAGAAATGCATAGATACACAGAACAAACTGATGGTTGTCAGACGGGAAGGGGTTTGGGGAGACGGATGAAAAAGGGGAAGGGATTAAGAAGTACAATTTGGCTGTTACAAAAATAATCACAGCAACGTAGAGTAGAGCAGAGGGAATACAGTCAATAATATCATAATAACTATGTAT